TATGGACACTCAGCTAGAAAAGGCTCATGCATGACTGGTTTTATATTGTTAACTGCAGCAAGATTATTATATGCACAAAGATAGAAGACTACAGAAACACTAATAATGGAGGAATGGATTGTGAAGATGGCTGAGTTTGCAGAAATGGCTAAATTGACTTGTTTGATTAAGGAGGGGACTATAATTACTTTTATAAAAGACTGGAAGCTCTTTATAGATGTTTTGCTGAAAATGATAAAAATGAACTGCTGATTTCAGGATTTATTGATTAAAAAGTTTTGTTTATTGGAAGAAGGGAACTATGATATGCAATATGAGAGATGGTAATTGCTATGTTTGTAACTGCTGCAAAGAAGATAGGAAGTCACTTTTTTAGATAGCTTTTTAAAAAATTTTTGTTATTTGTTTTTTCTTTTACCCTTTTGTAATCTTTTTCTTTTTTTATTTCTTCTATGTTTCTGCAATTTTTAAATCTTTGGAAAATCTTCTTTTAATAAAAATTAATTAAAAAAACACAAATCAACCTAGAATTTTCATTTAAGGCACAAATGACCAGGCTCAAATTACCATACTTCTAACATATTATGCAAAGATCTTCCTCTCTGGAGAAGTCTATAATGCTGGGAAAGGTGACTGGAAAGAGAAGAGGATGACCATCATTTATAGCAGTAATAGATGCACCATTGGATAATCTTAACAACCAGGCTAAGAACAGCTTCTCCTGGAGAAAATCTATGTGGTTGCTAAGAGTCAATGCTGACTTGATGGCACATAATCAATGTATTTATTAACATGTTAAAGTCATGGATTTGTTCTTAACTCTGTTTTTCCAAAATTAAATTTTAAGTATATAATTCAGTTATTCAGTAATATCTGTGTGGTGCCACACTGGTGCAAATTAGTTCTAACAATTTCTCTTTCTAAGACAGAACTGCATTTCCTTATCACTTTTTCTGTATTTTCATATCTCTACTGTGTCACTCTCTGTATCCTGTTTCCTGCTTGATTTTGTTTTATTATAAGCAAACTGTTATTGTTTTATGTCTTATAAGTAAATATCTTTAAGTAGGAGTATCTGTTATTTATATTTGGAATATAAATATTCCAAAATTTTCATATATTCCATATAAATTTGATATGCAGTGCCTGAATATCAAATACTGAATATATGACTCTGTTGTTAGAACTGTAGAACTGTAAACAGGAAATATGTATTGTGACTGCAACTGAACATTTTTAGGAACTGATAAAATTTGAATGTGGGCAGGTTCTTAAATTTTGCGAGTGATGGTGTTATTATTAGAAGCCTCCTTAATTTCCTGGTTTCCTGTGCTATAAACAATAGATTTAGAAAGGCTTATGAAAGAAATATTCAGTGGTTAAGTAGGAATTACCTTTTTCCAAACTGGTCTGCGTGTGTATGTGTGTGTGATGGAATGAAAAGTATTTTTAAGTGTTAATAACGCTTGTCAGTCTTGAGCTGTGTTTTATAAAAGCCTATCTGGTTTTTTTTCAATAATGGTATTTGTGATTTTTTTTAAAAAAAAGGATGAATTTTTAACTACAGTTCAAAATAAATTTGTCATCTAATATCAATAGATTGAAACAGTGCCAAAATTTCTTAATTTTAATCCCACTAATAACTGTAGTTTTTTTTTATTATCTTCTTATCTTCCTTTATTTAACTTGGTTTCATTATCCCAGTCTGTCAGAGATTATGAAGGAAGTTAATGATATCTTGGTGCTACATAGCCAAAATATCTGATCAGTCAATATCTGATCAGTCAATTCAAAGTCAAGGCAGGAAAGTCAAGGCAATTCAAAGTCAAGGCAGGAAAAATTACCTTCACTTTAAAGGTGTTTTATGGAGGAAATCACAAACATGAATATTTTTTTTAGTCTACATTTGTAAATAATTGCAGAAAAGTTGAATGCTTTCAAGGATAATGACAATATTAATTAAAATACATCCTGTCAAATATCAGCTTGGAACAGACACAAAATAATCCAGGGTTTGGCAGGAAGTGGGAGAAGGGGCAATATATTTCTCATAATCATTCTTCAGTGGACTATAGATTTATACATTCCAGTCTTATTTTGGAAGTCTTATTTTAGCATTTCTGGGATATACTGAAGTGGAAAGTAAAATTTATTTTTTAAAAAATACATTAAAGACCATTCTTTGATTCACCTGTGAATAGCTATATATGTTTGATACTACCACTTATTAAAAAAAAATCTTACAGCTGTTATAAAAGCAAATAATTTCTTTTTGTCTCAAAATGGAAATTACTCTTCAGAGTAAAGCCTAAATTAAATATTTATAATGTAACCTCACGTAATGATAGCCTAAGAGATACTTCTTTTTTGCAGAGTGCCTTTGGAGTAGTGTAATACATAGTTTAGAAGGAAGCAAGCTGGGATATTAATTCTTCTTTCAGCAGCCCATTTTCATTTGAAACTCCTCCAAATCACTTTAGTCCCCCTGGAATTCAAGATACCAGTGAACTATCTTTGAATGTATTTTATGAATAAGATGCATGGTATTTTAAATGAATTATTTATTATACTGTATTTTAATGCATTTGTGAGCTGCACAGATAACCATTTATTGTTTTATAATAAATATAAGCACCAGTCTAGAAATTTTAGGGGATGTTTTAGAAAGAAAAATAGGCATGTTGGGAAAGGATCAAGTACCTTTTGCTCCTGCCTCCATTAACTGAATAGTTCTTCTTTCCTGAAGTTGCTTTGCAAAGGAGAAGCAGCTGTTGGGTTAAAGTTACACTCAATTGCATTATAACATTTAGTTTGAGTTTCAAAAGCCATACATATCAGAATGATTTATTGCTAGATCTGTCCTCACCTTCAGTACTAGCTCTTCAATTCACTCCTAGAGCCAAACGTCACGGGCATCGATTGAAATTATCTTAATTCCAGCTTCAACAACGTGATTATTCAAAATATAACAATTTCCTATGGGTCAAGGAGCGAGAAAGATAAGGCCGAGGAATTCATAGAATATTACTTGCACTTCAATTTCAGTAACACATGGGTAGCCATTCATGTTCCTTCACTAATTATTGTACAGAAGACTATTTTAGGACTATGATGCAGCTTGTTAACAAGAGATGGATTTATGGTCTTGTTTACTCATAAATCAGACAAGAGTTCCCTGAATGTGGCTCTTTCAGATTCCTGGCAAGTAAGCAAAATCATAAATCTTTCTGCTGTTGCAGGTTTCATTAAGCAAGCATGTAGACAATTGGTGCTCAAAGTATCAATAACAGTATGTGATTACAGACAGCTTAGCTTGTTTGTGTGCTGTGTGATAGGTGAATCATGGTACTTCCAGATTAAATAATGTCCAAAGCATCTTTATCATTAAAGCAACCCCTCCCCCATATTTGCTGCTTATTATGTTATACCTACTTTACTAAGGCTGCTAGTACTATTAATTATTTCACCTGTACACACACATACACAAACAGAGTGTGGAGGGATTAAAAGATTTTACTATAAGCTTGCAAACTAATGAGCACAATAAAAATGAGAAAGGGAGAACTACCAGTTTCAGGAGCCAAATTGTGTGTGTGCTGTTACGCATATATTAAAAAGATGAATTTGTTTAATCTCTGTAGACTATGGAAACTGCTCATCTCTAATTCTGATATATTGTGATGGAAAAGTATTCTGGTAATGGGGGAAATAGAAATATTAAGGAAATACATTGACAAAAGGCAGTACTGGCATCACTAATGCTAAGCTATGGAATGTTTTAACCATGGTTTATTGACTAAACCACAATGCTGGGCCATAAACTCAAAAGGCTAAATACAGGTAGTCCTCACTTAATGTCCATTCATTCAGCAACATTTCAAAGTTATGACGGTGCTGAATGAAGGGACTTAACAACTGGTCCTCGAAGTTCAGGCTGTTGTAGTGCCCCTGTGGTCATGTGAACAAAATTTGGGCCTACCCACATTTATGACTGCCTTTTGGCTGCCTGCCTATCCGCTGCCACCAGCTGCTACCGCTCCCTGGCCCTGCCCACCACATTGTGCACTAGTATTGTACCAGCCAGGGCCTTCTTTCATACCACTTTCTTTCACGCTGGTGCAGCCAGCACCTTTCTCTCGCATATCAGCCAGGGTCTCTGTTCGTGTGCTGGCCAGGGCCTCTGTTTGCATGCCGGCCAGAGCCTTTTTTTGTGAAAGAAAGCTCTGGCCAGGGCACCAATGGAGGCCCTGGCTCGTGTGCAAGAGAAACCCCAGGTGGCGTGCAAAAGAAGACCCCAACTGCACTGATGCAAAAGAAGGCGGCATGAAAGAAGGCCCTGGCTGGGATAGTAGTGGTGCGTGGTGCAGTGGGCACAGTGATTGGCAGGGCTGGGCGGCAGGGGCAGCTGGTGACGGTAGGTGTGTGGCCAAAAAAGCAGAGATGGGGAGACATAAGTGGATGAGGGGAGTTGAAGTGGAAGCAATCCCCTACCCTTTTACAAGAATGGCTTGGACCGGGGTGGGTCCTCACCTAATGACCGTGTGGGGTTCACTCAATGACAGCAACTGGAATTGCCAGAACTGCTGTCACTAAGCAGAGCAGTCGTGATGTTTTTGTTTAACAACCGCTTTGCTTAGTAATGGAGTTGCCAGTCCCAATTAGGGTTGTTAAGTGAAGACTACCTGTAAAGACCAAGTGAACCATATTATATGGTTTAGCACAACATGTGAACCCATCCTTTCTGAACATAAATTTTCTTAGACCATAAATGTAACATAGACACAGTAGGCCTCTTCAGGCACTGTTACGAAGTACAAATTATATCATGATAAGAGTGAGTGCCCACTCCAGAAGATGTGCTGTGAGGCTGCTTAAAAGGTAGTCATCTTAGTAATTTTTTATGATTGGTGGGTTTTTGTGTCATCTCATAGCGGTGCCTAGTGTTAATAGAATGTAACAGCCATTTCTACATAATGATTTTGCTTCTTTCTGTAGATGACATGGCAGAACTCCTCCTTGGCGAATCCAAGCTAGAACTTTTCCTGAAGGTGAACCCTCTAAAACAAGGTGCAAGTCCCTGTGGGCCCCGACCAAAATTAATTGAAGTCAGGAAACATCTCACTGCAGCACTTGATCGTGGAAATTTAAAGGTATTTGTGCTTCCATAGTTGGAAGGTTGGTATTTGAGCAATGTAGGAATAAGTAATGTTGCTTTTAAAATGTTTAGCTGAATCATTTATATTATTACAGTGCAGATCTAACTTTTATATATTCTGTGTATCAGAGTTCCCTGGCAGAGCGCATCCATGAACACCAACTAGTAGTCAGTAGACATGATGAAAACTCCTTAATCTGACAACACATGGACAGACTTAACCATAGTT